TAAACCTCACGGAGCCCGAGACCTTTCCAACAAATGCAAAACCGTGGAAATCGGTTCGTGAGTTCTGGAGTTATAGCGAGGAAAACCCGACTTATTTTTATGTAGTAGATTATTGGAGGATTTTTTTTTAATTACTTGTACCTAATAGGGGGTCTGGACTGGTATAGACATAGGCTCATCCCTTATTACATGGAACTTATAAATTGTGAAAAGTGGGTGTTACATTGTATATGACGTGCTCCATCGTAGATCGCATCATCGCTTACCACTAGACGAGATAGAGGTCAAACGTCGTCGGCCCATTAAATCCTTACTTCCTTACTTATATATATTATAAATCGGAAAGTGAGTTTTTTTGTTTGTTTGTTCCGCTTTCACGCCGTAACTACTAAACCGATTGCTTTGAATTTTTGCAGGCGTAAAGTTAGAAGTCCGGATTAAATAATAGGGTACTTTTTATCCCGGAAACATTTGATATTCCCGAGGGAAAAAAGTATTGGTATAGATGGCGCTGTATGTATTGGTATATGTCACATAGGCTACGTTTTATCCTTTTGTGACGCGAGCGAAGCCGCGGGTAAAAGCTAGTATACACATAAAAAGCACTTTTTACGGTGTTATTTATGCAAAATCAGCCTTCAGCAACTGCTGATTGTAATCAACTGTTGTAATCAACTGATTACAACTATTATTACTTAAAAGATACGTTTAATTCTTTCCTTTTGTGAAAATAAAACTTGTTCTTGACCATAACCCCCCAATTACCTCTCTCCAACCTCCGAATCCTCCACAATCCTCAAATGCCCAATCCCCTAAAAGCCGGTAACGCACTTGTAATGCCTTGGTGTTCCGGGTGTCCATGGGCGACGCCGATTGCGTACCATCAGGTGATCCGTCTGCTCGTTTACCGGCTTATGCCATAAAAAATCACCTGTTGACATTATTCGAAGCGTTCAGTTTACACCCGATATGCCTGTGTCTGTAGTAAGAAGGTATTTATAAATTCTCATTGTATATTTAATTTATTCTCACAATATAGTAAAATAGTAACGTCATCAATTGTTTTCGTCTATTAACCTACTTATTCATTATTTGTCATAAATTAGTGTTCGAACGTAATTAAACTGTCAAACACCAAGCGGTCACCGGTGACCGCAACCTATTGTTCTATAATTGTGTCTACAAAACCGGTACTCGACGAGTTAATTATAATATCGAATCGATTAATGAAAATGTGAATATTTTAGTGTATTACAATATATTTTAATATTTTCTTTGCATACATATTTATGCTAAGACGACAGTTTTTTGACTAGTCAAAGTCAAAATCATTTAATTCAATTAGACCAGGAAGGTACTTTTGTAATGTCAAAACAAAATATTGAAATATTAAAACAATGCCAGTCTGTCAGTCAGTCCTCTAGTTGCTCTGTTTGCTCGTTCCAAAGTGTAGATTCCTATGTAGAAGAACGAGCAAGAAACTCCATAGGTCATTAAGTATTCGTAATAGTTTATTTTAGTCGTGAAACTATGTATTTGTCTAGCTTCTACCTGTCATATCATACGCACAAATGGTGATACCCATTTCCCCGTTGCCATGCGAATAGGGATGATGACGGGGTATGAAAATTAAAAATCTATTTAGTCCGTAAGTTAGGTAATGAAAAAATATTAGACACGTATTTTTTTATTATGTCGTAAAACAAAATAATACTTACATAAAATCAATCAAAGTTTAGGAGTGAGGGCTAAAACGTCATTTATACGTATAAATATATCTATCTCTTTTTTTTAAGGGTGGAAAGTCATCGAATGACTGCCCTGGGTGAGGCGGGAGGGCGTGTCAGACTCTTACTGACTAAAAACCACTCCGTTCCTTCTCCTGCACGTCGAACCGGAGCCCCGGTTACCCGTTAGGTTCTTCGCGACTCCGAATCGGCATCGGCCCTATTGGGCCTCATCTGTGGTGGTCTGATGGCTCTTTGAGGCGCGCGCGGACCGCGACGCGCCGTACGCTCGGGTCTGTTTCCGGTCGGACGGGGAGCCACCCATGCTCGCCGTCTGCAGGCCCGCACCTCTTATCTATCTCTTCGAGGACAAAAAGCGTGATGTTATGTGTATGTCGTTAAATGTCTAAGTGTTCATAGCAGTGCAATTTTATTTGTGAATTCCATATTGCTATGATTAATTGTCGTATCGAAAACACAATGAGTTATTGATCGACTCGGTTATTTAACTTAGGAATTTAGTAATGAGTTAATCTCACTGGTATTACTACTCCGCTCATTACAGTCCACTGCTGGACTATGTGCCTCCTCTACGATAAGAGGAGTTTGGCTTAATAGCTACGCGGGCTCGGCAGGTTGCACATCGCAGTGTAAAAGGTTCAGGTTTATCAGAGAGCGCTGCTGCCCGGTCTTTGTCTAATGTGTTTTTTTTTTCTTTTAAGAGGGGAAAATCATCGAATGACTGCTCCCGCCTGGGAAAGGCGGGAGGGAGTGTCAGACTCTTACTAACTAAAAACCATCCCGTTCCTTCTCCTGCACGTCAAGCCGGAGCCCTGGTTACCCGTTAGGTTCTCCGTGAAGGTGTAGTCCCTTAGTCGGGTATACGACACCCGCGGCAAGAGTAGGTTCAGGTATATCAGAGAGCGCTGCTGTCTGGTCTCTGTCTAATATGTAGTCTCTTATTATCCGAAATTAATAATTACTAATACAAAAGCTCTGAATCTGTTATAACATCACGTCTTTTAGCACATTACGGCACTTAATGCCACTGTACAATGTAACACCTACTTTTCACTATTTATGTTATGAGTCCCATGTAATAGGGAGTGAGCCTATTGCCATATACCGGGCACAATACGGTAGTTGACAGTCAAATTCAATACTTTTATTGAAATGTCAAAAACGACACTTTTCTATTGGTTCGCAACTTATGATGTCATCATATTTCTGCGTCAAATAACATAGCTATTTCCTTAAAAATGGCGAGAAAAAATCCAAAAGTAGGTTTATTGTCAAATCAATGGTATGATTATTTTTTAAATATTTATTGCGTTAAAAAGTTGAAACAATTTATAGGAAACTAGCCAACTCCAGACTAGTACTGAGTAATTGTCAAGTATTCAAAGTTCTTCTGTGTATATAGTGCACTGCACGGTTGAAGTGGTGGCTGGGCAACCGGGTTCGATTCTTGCACGGAACAATGTTGTGTGATCCACAGATTGTTGTTCCGTGTCTGTGTCATGTGTATGTGAACTTGTATGTTTGTAAACGCACCCACGACACAGGAGAAAATCCTAGTGTGGGGCAAAGTTTTAAATAAAAAGAAGTACCTATGTGATTTTTTTTTAATGGGACAAGCCCGCCAAAACTTCCCAAAACCGCTGCAACTCCTGCAAGTCAGGATCTACAGTAGATATAAGTACCTATGTGATGGCAAATTATTGAATTATTCATCAATTCAAATTTATCTGGCGTTGGTTGTGGTTTTTAGTCAGTAAGAGTCTGACACTCCCTCCCGCTTCACCCAGGCGGGAGAAGTCATTCGATGATTTTGCCCTTCAAAAAAGCCTACTCCAGATCACAAAAATATGGAATATGGATATGCCCTACGCACCAAACTATTTTATCTTTGTCCCATAATATATATTAATATCATTAATACAATAGGGTCCAAAAGTTCGCTAAAACAGTCAAAGGCTGGTAGGGAACACTGCTTAATAGTTTTAATCATTCTTCCATTTATAGAACAGGCCATCGAACGAGCAGACTGATCACCTGATGGTAAGCATCGGCGCGGCCCATGGACACCCGCAATACCAGAGGATTCATAAGTGCGTTGCCGAAGTTATTGTATGATTTTCCCCCTTAAAAAAATTCACTACATACATAAATAACGTAAACACTTTCAACCTTAACAAGACCATTAATTTATCCGGTAATATTAAACTACGAACACGCATCGCTTGGTAAAACTCTGCGTAATACCGCGCTTGACCTTACTTAGACAAGGTGAGCTGCGTGCGCGCATCGAGAGTTTACTAACTCATACTGTTATTGAGTAAGATGATTATATTTGTAGGTAGTCTTTTTTTAAGGCTATATGGCTCACCGCCTATTACATGGGACTCGGAACATAAATAGTGAAAAGTGGGTGTTACTTCTGTGTGCACCTCTGCCTACCTCTTCGGGAATAAAAGGCGTGATGTTCTATTATGTTATTTTTTAAAAGTGAGGTATATCATCGAATGACTTCTCCCGCTTGTGTGAGGCGGGAGGCAGTGTCCGACTCTTACTGACTAAAAACCACCCCGTTCCTACTCCTGCACTTCGAGCCCCGGTAACCCGTTAAGTCCTCTGCGGCTCCGTATCGGCATCAGCTCTATTGGACCCCATCCGTGGTGGTCTGATGACCCTTTGAGTCGTGCGCGGGTGCCGTACACTCGGGTATACTTGTAGTATGCCAGTGGTGGTTCGGAAGTTTAAGACTTGTCTCTCATGCATGAGGGTGCAGTTTCGAAACTTGGCAAGTACGGTCAGCATCAAAAGTTGATGAACACATTTATTACTATTACTACTTTATTACTTAGGTAGGGTT